CCTCTGCTACAAATACCATTATTCACAATCAGGAACAACACCCCCTTTCAAAGCTGGCACTTGTTTATGTCACCCTTGGCCTTATTGTTGCATTAGACTGTTATTTATTCTCTGTTGGTCTCTCTAGCTTCCCTGTTTCTACTTTTTCTCTTATTTGCTCCTCTCAATTAGCCTCCAGTGCCTTCTTCTCCTTCTTCCTTAATTCACTCAAATTTACACCTTACATCGTAAACTCTTTAGTCATTTTAACAATCTCGTTCATCATCCTTGTCTTTCATACTGATTCTCCTTCAGCATCCACACAAGCTTCAAAACAGAAGCATGTGATTGGGTTCATATGCATAGTTGCTGGTTCAGCCGGGCATGGACTAGTGCTTTCTCTGACACAGCTTGCATTCAGGAAAGTCTACAAAAAGTAAAATTTCAAGGTGATTCTAGACATGATAATATACCAATTCCTTGTGAACACTGGTGGGGCTGTTTGCTATCGGGCAATTTAGAGGTTTGAAGGCAGAAATGGAAGAGTATAGAATGGGAAAGGCAAGTTATATGCTGAACTTGAGCTTTACTGCTATAACATGGCAAGTTTTTAGCGTGGGAAGTGTGGGTTTGATTCTGGAGGTGTCGTATGTGTTCTCAAACGTGATAACTGTTTTGGGTTTGCCAATTGTACCCATTTTGGCTATAGTACTCTTCCATGACAAGATGAATGGGTTGAAGGTGATATCTCTGTTCCTTGCTCTTTGGGGCTTTCTGTCATACACCTACCAGCAGTACTTGGATGAGACCAATTCCCAGCCTCAGCACAGAAACAGTGATGCTTTATCCAGAGACTCGCTCGATGGAGTATCTGAGCAAGTAGAAAACAGGTCAGTATGAAACTGGGAGTCCAAGAAATTCTCTGAACTCATAGACACATATATATGGAAGCATGCATGTAATTGAAATCTTTTCTTATAAGGCAATGTACAGTTTCTCAATGTAGTGATGCTAAGACGTAAGAATTCTTCAGTCTATCTCACAGAAGAGACCATTTTCATGGGTCTCTTATGCATGTGATCCGTATGCAAATTCTTGGAAGGCTCAGTCAATAGATGGGACCACCAATTTATCATTTGTAATAAATGGAAACAGTTGGGAAGCGAAAGCTTCTTTCGTAAGTTGATAAATATAGAACTCCACCACCTTGATGTTTTATAATAAATACCGGTATAATGCAATATTAGTGCCTGGGACATTCTTTTAATGATTAATAAGTTATATTTTGAATAAATCTCAGGAAAAGTACAGTATAATTATGGTTGAGCTTGGAAAAGCCATCAATAAGAAAAGAACATAAATTTTTGTCCCGTCGAAAATGGGGAAAACTGGGGGGAAATCCCTTTTGAAATCGGAACCAGTTTCGATACTTATCCTTTTGATAAGCATTCTAAACTTATCATATCTGAATCATTTATATCTTATTTGGATGATTTAGATTTGATTTCTTTTTTATTTTTATTTATTCAAAATAATTATTTTAATATGTATAAAATATAAAATAGTGATGATCTCTTAACTATCATATTCTTTCAAAAAATAGTTTTCTCTATTTAAAAATAATTAATTAAATATTTTAAATCTAGACCGTTCAAATCAGATATAGACAATCCAGATCTGATGAACTTATGGTAATCATCAAAACAATAAGCACTGAACTGGTTCTCTTGGAATCAGGCCAAAGAATAAAATCTCCCCCCGGGTTAGTGAGAATTAGTCTTGCAAGCTCTTAATTAATCTTGCCTTCTTTTTTTTAACTACTGCCTCCACCAGTCCTAACTATAAGAACTAGTTAACTAAGTTGAGAATATTAAGAAAAGAAGTTAAGTTAGTTATTTGTAATAAATATGTGTTGTCTTTTCTAAAATATCCTTGTTAATCAAGCATATTAGTCAGAATTATCATTAGTAAAAGGACTACTTTGAAAAAAAATACATAAATTTTAGAGAGAAATTGGATGGGAATCTTATATTTATAACGAAAATAAAAATCAAACGAGATCTTATATTAAGAATCAAAGGTAGTATGTAACTAGTCGAACCCAAAAACAGTTCAGCAGCAATTATTGTTGTAAGTCATAATCCACCATCCGGCAAAAAAAAAAATAAGAAGTCACAATCCGCCATCCGGCAAAAAAATAAAAGGTCACATTCCACCATGATCGATGTCCTTAAGTCTTGAGCGCTAATAATTAAAATATGACTAATAATAATTATCTAATTAATAATTATATGATGCCAGCTTCTTGGCGGAGTGGTACCAAGGGTGCCCTTTGGGCCTTAACATACGGGTTTGATCCTTGTTACCCAAAAAAAGAAAAAAAGAAAAACACACACTCACACACATTCGGGTTTGATCTCTCCTCAGGTGTTAGCCTGGACTCAGAAAAAAAGAAAAAGAAAAAAGCATATGATAAGTGTATATATCTTACCTTCTATTTTTAATATAAGAACTAGATAGTTGGCCAAAAAAAAAAACTAGATAAAATGTTTATTTTTCTCTTAAATATGATATCTTAATTTACTTTATTTTTCAAATTTATAACTTTCTAATCAGAATATTTCTATTGATTGCACATGTTTAGAGATTTCATCAAGGGATAGTTTCAATACATATGAGGTGTTTTATGAAAGTCAACACTCATTTAGCTTATTACAAATAGCCAGTTTCATAATTTTTTTAATCTCCTCAAATTAATTATATAGCTCTTATATTAAGCAACATCTAGTATACGTGTTGTGTAGTTTTTTTAATTAAATCACACGCCTACTGATTTTACTATCATAAACAATTATCTTTCTTATATTATGTTTAAATAAAAAGAATGTGATTATATGAATATAATGAATTTAATTCGGTTCTGAATATCAATTTGAAAGTTCATGGATATCCTTTATTATTTCTTCATACAATGGCAGCGTCATAATTTTTAACATAAACATCCAACTTCAAGTTCAGATCTTATTTAATATCTATAATCGTGGAATAAGACAGAGTATTTGACATGTGAGACCTACCATTCCTTTATTCTCCGTTTTTTTTTTTAAAACCAAACAGACTTGCCTTTCTAATTATTAATTTCAGAAATTGACTATAGAGATTAAGTTTTGGATCGAATTGGCCGATTAAAGAGGTATAAACAAGAATTAAGTTGGGAATTAGTTTTCGGATTTCCATCCTCATCATGCATGCATCAATATCAAAATTTGATCTTCTAATTAGGCTATCTATATTTAAAATTATTTTGGCATTTTTAATCCATTTTTATTTTAATAGATGTGTAATCTAAAATAGAGATAATTTTTAAAATTTTTCACAAAAATAAACTATCATTTGAAAATTAAAATTTAAAAACTTTAAATCTAGATTGTCCAAAACTAGATTTGGCAGACCCAAATTATATCCTATCACAATGATAAGCAATGAAGCTAGAACCCTACTCAACTTGGCAGTTATATGCTTCACTGGAAAACCATATATAGAAGTGAAATTAAAGCCCAAAAGAATGAGCATACAATAAACTACCCCTCATATTCTCAATATAAAACCTAATTAGAGAGTTAATGTTAATCATATATATAAAACCTATTTCATATATTTATTAATTTTTTCTAAATTAGCCCTATTAATATTTCTCCAATAATAATTAAGTAGGAGAAAGAAAGAGGAAGGAAAGTAAGAAAAATGCTTAAGGTGTTTTAAAAAATATATATATCATATTAACTAGTTTGATTAACATTATTAATTTATTTAAATTAGTTATTTAGGCCTTACATTAAGGATCAGATAAGGAGTATAGGAAAGTTGTATTTAAAAACTAACATATAGACAACTTTTAAGAACTTAATATCAATTCAGGTCCAAAAATCAAAGCATTAAATATAATATCGACTATCTGTAGCGTTAGACTCTCATTTTTTGGAATAAAACAAGATAATATTAAGAAAACACGAGTTTAGAGTTTTACATACTACGATAAGTTAGCATGAAAATAGAATTATTAAAAGATAAAGAAAAGAAGATAAGAACACGAATTTGACCAATCTATGTGAAGCAAAAATAAAATTTTCTGTCATATCATGGTAGATAAGTGAGAAGGATAAGCAGGGATATGGAGGAAGGATAATACTACTTTTATAATTAATATAAAAGCCAAATAACTAATTTAAAATATTAAAAAAATTAATTAAGTTGGTTATTTTTACATGTGTTAATCTCTCTAAACTATCCTCTGCAATCATATGTATTGGATGATTATAATTATCTTTTAGTAGAAACCACTTACAATTAATAAGAGTATTTTGGAGTGAGAGAGAGAGAGAGAGAGACAAAATTTAATATTTTTAATTAATTATTTATAACCAAATCCAACTTCTAAAAAATTAGTTTGGGTGCTCATCTTTAGTATGAGCACCTAATCTAGATAGTCTAAATTTAATATTTTTAATTAATTATTTTTAAAAAGTGATAGTTAAGATATTATCTTTATTTTCGATTATATATCCATTAAAATAATTATTTTAAAAAAATAGAAAAAATCAAATCTAGACTGTTCAGATTTGATATGAAGGTTCAAATAGAATAAGTTTTGAGTGTTTATGTTTGAGATGAGCATCCAAATCGGTTTTATCCAACTTGTTCTTAAGAATTTGTGATACTAACTTGGATCCTAAACTATTAGACTAGCGCCGTGAACTAAAAAAGTGAGGCTCACGTTGGACCCTCTTATCAATCATGCAAAACTTAAATGCACCAAATATCTTCAATAGCAACCAACCTAACATTCAACAAGTGGGGTGACGCATATCAGCCCCTCTTCTATGATTCATCTATTTCCTAGGTATCATTATGCCTCTCATTTTGCACTCGAGCTCCACTCGAACTCATTGCTCTCTCTCTCTCTCTCTCTCTCTCTCTCTCTCAAGTCTCACCCCAAAAAAAGAGCATTGTTTATGTTTGCCATGGGAGAACCTCAAGAATTGCAGCTTACCATAATAGGCAAGTCAGCATTCTCATTTTTGTCATCTCTATCTCTTCTGTTCTTAGATCACAAATTGCTCAGCAGAAACTTGCTGCACATATATAGATGATCACACACACATACATATAGCTTAGAGATGCTTCAATGACATAAAGGTACTTATTAAACTACCTAAATATGCATTAGAAGGATGATTCAGAGGAACAGTATGCTTCTAGTAAAGGTCGATGACTTCTAAGACTATATGAACCCGAAACAAATGCATACCTTGATAAAACCAACCACCGGACACATCTCTCTCACTCTCTCTCTCTCTCTCTCTATATATATATATGCATGCAGTACAATTAATGTTTTATTGCGTCTCATGGGTTCTGAAATTCTACAGGTATTTCAGTCACCTTCTCATTTTCTTCCTGCAGATTAGCAACATACAATACAAAATCCTTTAAATTTTAGAATATAGCATATGATCACCCATAAGTGATATAGGAGGTTCCTTTCTATTATCATACAACGTCTATACAGCTAACGGAGTGATCATTTCGATTGTTTTCTCAGAGCCTGATGAAGCCAAAGAGAAGAATCTAAAAAGGGATACAGAATCTAACTCAGACAAGAAAACAAGTCCCGATGGAGACACCGATGATGTCCCTAATAATGAAGCCACTGCCAGCACCACAATCAGAAACCAAAAGAGACATCAACGTTGGTTAAGGATAGGCTTGTATACTGTCTCTGTTTTACTGGGCCAATCAACTGCAACACTCTTGGGAAGATTGTACTACCAAGAAGGTGGACACAGCAAATGGTTGGAAACACTTGCCATTGTTGCGGGTTTCCCTGTGCTCCTCCCGTTTTATTGTACTGCATTTAAACTCCCCTCCGCAACAAATACCATTCACAATCATGAACAACCCCCTGTTTCAAAGCTTGCATTTGTTTATGTCTCCCTTGGCCTTCTTGTTGCATTAGACAGCTACTTGTTCTCCGTTGGTCTCTCTTACCTTCCTGTTTCTACACTTGCTCTTATTTCCTCCTCGCAATTAGCCTTCAATGCTTTCTTCTCCTTCTTCCTTAATTCGCTCAAATTCACACCTTACATCATAAACTCCTTAGTCCTTTTAACAATCTCCTCCGTCCTCCTTGTCTTTCACAATGATTCTCCTTCAGCATCCACACAAGTTTCAAAAAAGAAGTACGCGATCGGGTTCATATGCACAGTTGCTGCTTCAGCTGGATATGGACTGGTGCTTTCTCTGACACAGCTTGCTTTCAGGAAGGTTTTGAAAAAGCAAAGTGTCAAGGTGATTTTGGACTTGTTAGTGTACGAATTATTTGTGGCAACTTTGGCAATACTGGTGGGGCTGTTTGCTAGTGGGGAATTTAGAAGTTTGCAGGCAGAAATGAAGGAGTACAGAACGGGGAAGGCAAGTTATGTGCTGAATCTGAGCTTCACTGCAATATCATATCAAGTTTTTAATGTGGGAACTATGGGTTTGATTCTGGAGGTGTCATCAGTGTTCTCAAATGTGACAAGTGTTGTGGGTTTGCCAATTGTACCTATTTTGGCGTTAGCGTTCTTCCATGACAAGATGAACGCGTTGAAGGTGATATCCTTGATACTTGCTCTTTGGGGCTTTTTATCATACACGTACCAGCAGTACTTGGATTACACCAGTTCTCCTACCGATGAGCACAGAAACAGCGATGAATTTCGCAGCAACCCAGTATCAGAAGGGATTAATGGAACATATGGGCAAGTAGGGGTAGTTCATTGATGCACTTTGATAGAAAAATAGTGGTTGTAAGAAGCATAAATAAATCAAAGCTGGACCTAATAATTGATGGATTCCTGTATGGTTATTGCATTAATGCGAATAAATCGAGTCATTTAAAACTTTCTCAACACAAAGTTACAAAGTCTCGATGTGATCTGACGCAGAGATGCAAGAATGTTTAAGCAAGCATGGTCATATGTGCATGTATGAACTAACCATATACGTAAACTTTTAGAAATGCAGAAACAACTGACATGAAATTTTCTCAGCCCTTGTGAACCATTCGCTTGTTTCCAAATATGTGTAGGTAGTATGACTCAATAGTAATAATGTAAACAAAGGAATACTAATATTCTAGCCCTTATAGTTTTACCAGTTTTTAAATTAAATTAGGTCCATGTATTTTTATTTTTATTTTTTTGGTTTTATCCGATCCTTGTTGTTTGCTTTTATTTTTTTTTTTCTTTGCCGGCCATGGATATTTTCGTTTGAGTTTAATCTTTCGCATCCTTTTAATTTCGTCTCCGATCATTCATAGGATTTCTCTGATTATTTCTTGTCACTTTCATTTATTAATTTACTCTTTTGGCTCTTCTGTATAAGGCTTAAAAACTTTTGTAATATGTGGGGTAAGAAATTAAAGGGCATTTTGGATGGTAGGAAAAAAGCAAAACATTCAGATTAGTCAATAATATGGATAGACACAAATGGTGAGGGGGGAAAAGAGGTAGACGCAAATCGTAAACATAATATTTCTTCAATTTAAATTTCCTAATAGTATTAAACAGTTTCTATATTAATTAATTTGTATAGGAAGGAGCATTTGAAGATATGATGAGTCCTCTTTCACACGCATTAGGACATTTAAATACAATTGGTTTGCCCCATTAAAAGTGTTTTAAATTTTTTTAAAAAAATTGCACATTTGTTAAAAGTTTCTGTGATGATTTGGGTATCCATCTACGTCTAACATATCTCTATAAACTACATAACATTGCAGCTTATTCATCATATTTTATTTTCCCATACCTTTGTCATAAAAAATAGTGCACAAAAAAAAAACCTTTTAATTTATATTTATATTTTTCCTCCTTAATAGTATCTATAAGTTATTTTATATAAAGCCACAACCATTATTTCTCATCACGTTCTTATTTCTTTTTCCTATCTTAAAATTTGCATGTTATAAAAATAAAAAAAAACTAACGCCACCTTTTTCATTAATCTGAGAGCAACTAACGCCACCTTCTGTCCTTTTTAGAATAATATTTATTTAATAAAATGAATACAACAAACTACAACTTATATTGACATCTCTATCTAATAGTCTTTCAAGTTGACTCACGGACAAAACTGTCTGACTACCACTAAAAAAAAAAGAAAGGCAAAAGGTTCGGAAAAATGAAATAACAATGAAATAGATTTGTCAAAGATACTAAAGCATTATATTGTTAGATCTGCGAACGGAATATTCTTACAAAATAGCAATACTTTAAGACTAATAAATGATATTTCGGCTAATTAGATTCTACCTCTGTTCTTTAATCTAAAAGCTAGATAATTAATTAGAACATATTAAAAAAAATATTAATTAGTTATTTGTAATAAATATGTGTTAACTTTTTTAAATTATTATTATTCAATTATGTATATTGAAACTACAATTGAGTGAAAATATCTTACAATTATTAGGATATTTTTGAGAATACAATATAAATTTGAGAGACAAAGTGAATTGAGTTATTATATTTAGAACTGACAACTAGCTGTTATATTTAAGGCTAGAGTTAGTATTTTTGATCTTATAATAACCAAATTACATGTAAATCAAAAGGTTAATTAACGTTGATTAAGAACATAATAAATATGTAAAATGTTTTTCAAAATACGCTCATTTATAGAAAAGCTTGGAGAGAGAAAATAAGTGAAAAAAAAGAAGATAAAAAATGAATAAAAGAAATAAAAGAGATACCAGTATATAATTAGCTAATCAGAAGGGATGAATGGATTGTTTGGGCAAGTGGTTCAGAAAAAATACTGTATGTGGTGATATTTTTCACAAATAAATTGCAGTTCTTATGCAGATAATTTGACTGATCCTATATGGTTGTTACGGGGGTTTTCTACAATGTTCGAGCCACTAATGCCACCGGAGCATATTAATGAAGTGTGCGTTAATTGTCTCAAAGTGGGTCATGGCCCCAGTCAATGCTCTAAGGCGGTGGGCTTTCAAGGAAAGTACGAAGGCTATTTTAATGGGCCTAAATCTTCACACATAAATCAGGTTCGCCCAGATTACTTTTTTAAAATGGAGCTGGGTTTCCTTCTTTACAGGCCCAATAGCACTTCAGGCCCCTTGTCTACTTTTAAATTGAATGTTGATACCAATGAAGGTTAGATCTAACAGAAGGAACTAGTCCCTCATAATATAGCCAACCAAAATTTGAATCCCCGTTGAGAGAGATGTTCACATTTAGTACCCGACAGTGTCTCAAATAGGATTGCTTCTAATAGAAGGATACTTATGCTTTAGTAATAAAAAAAAATAAACGTTGATGATGTTGATTTGGATGGCTCTGATGGCTTTGGTAGTCATTCGCCAGTCAAGTCACCAGATCTCTACACGAGTAAAAGAAAACGATTGGAAGTTGAGGAAGGAGCTATAGCCAAGTTCCCCAAGACTAGCTGTAATGATGGTTTTTCAGGTGATGCTATCTTGTATCCAGAAGTGATTCTTCAGTCCAAATTTTTAGTTTCCTCTAGTTTTAAATTGCCACGAAGATCAGTGCTTGACCTATTTGTCTTGATAATTTTTCATCTTTCTATCAAACAGTTTCAGTTTTTTTTTTTAGGTGAAGAAAGGGGCGAAGCCCAAAGACTAAAATAAAGAGATAAGAACAAGGGAACACAAAAGAAAACAACAGAACGCGTCAGCGTCCGGAAGCCATATCTACATTAGCTTCCTCTCTTAGAATATTCTCCAAAATACTGGGCGGGGATGTCCAACTCTTCCACCATTCAGGCAAATCCAAACTCAGTGAAGCCAAGCGATCTGCACACTGGTTCCCCCTCTCGATAGATATGCATGATCTTCACTTGCCACTCCTTTAGCATCATGCTGCGAATCTGAGCAAATAACAAGAAGTCCCCATTGACCGTCTTCATGTCGTTTATTGCTTCCATAACTTGCCAAGCGTCGCACTCCACAACGACCTTCCTAAAACCTAGCCTCCAACATTCCTTTAGTCCTATTAAGACACTCTTAGCTTCAGCATTGGTCACACTGTAGTGATTAATTTTCATAGTAAATCCCCCCAGCCATTCCCCACCGTCCCCCCTTATTACTCCACCACATCCATTCAAGCCCTGGCAAGGCCCGGTTGCATCCGTATTCAGCTTGTACCACCCTTTGTCTGGTACTTTCCATCTGGTAGTACTAGTTCTGATTCTCTGTTCTTCTAATAGTTCCTCTCCCCATTTATGTTGATAGCTCTCCAGTAATATATGGCTTTCTCTGGTTTGAGTGGTAACTCAAAGTCGCTATCATGTATGAGGAGGTTTCTCTATTTCCAAAACTGCCATAGTCCTACCGCAAAAAACTGATCCCAGTTGATGCCTTCTGAGTGCTTAACTCTTTGCAAAAGATTTCTTGTCAGCCATTCTTCCCAATGTTGGCCAAAAAACTTGACTCTTTCCTGCCACGGTATAATTTTTCTCCATATGTGGGTGACATAAGGGCAGTCCCTTAAAGCATGGAGAAGGTCCTCCTTCTTCTGGTTACAGATCCCACACCATCCTTGACTCCCATCCCATTTACTTGTGAGCTCCTTTGTAGGGAGTTTTTTATAGAATACTCTCCAGATGAATACTCGTATCCTCTGTGGTACCTTTAATTTCCAAACCTTCTTCCAGTTTCTTCCTTGTGGGAGTTGTTGTAGGCCCTTTAAGTTTTGATACACACTTGCGATAGAAAAGGCACCATTGCTCGTTAGCTTCCATGTTAGCTGCTTTATGTTTTGGTGGGTTGAGACACTGGTTTCAGAGATATTACTCTCAAACCTTTCCCATAGTTTTGTCATTTCTTTCTAGAGCCTTGAATCATTATTCTTCATTATAGGTCTTTCTCTGTTACTTGTCCCTCTTCCATACTTGCCTTGTAACACCTTAATCCATAAGGCATTTGGTTCTGTATTCAATCTCCATAGTAGTTTGCATATGAATGCTTCGTTCATTTCATGCAGAGATCTTATACCCATCCCTCCATACTCTTTCTCTTTACACATCATTTCCCACCCTATGGCATGCCAAGTGTGCTTATCTCCTTTCTCTCCCCAAATAAATCATCGCTGAGCTCTTTCCATATCCTCTGAGATGCATTTCGGCACTTTGTCATGTTGCATTGTGTAAAGTGCCATAGAGCTCGTGACTGCTTTGACCAAGGTAATTCTTCCTGCCATAGAAAGACTCAATGCCTTCCAACCACCCAACTTCTGCTTTAGTCTATCTACAATACTTGTGTATCATGCTTTTCGTCTCCTTGGGTAGGTGATATTTGTGCCAAGATATCTTCCAATCTCTTCCACCTCTTTGAACTGACTTCTGTGGTGTATGGCTCTCCGAGTGTGCACCGGGACATTTGGGGAGAAATAGATAACTGTTTTCTCCTGACTAACTTCGTGTCCCGAGACCTCTCCAAACTCCTATAAACAATTTGAGATAACATCAATCTACTTAACAGTAGCCTCTGCAAAAAGAACAAGATCGTCAGCAAACATCATGTGTAATACTAGGCCCTGATCGGCTAGCTCTCAAACCTTTCCACTGTTTCTCTCTCTCCCTGTCTAGGATCATGTGAGTGAGTTTCTCCATTCCGAGTACAAATAGATAGGGGGAAATGGGGTCACCCTGTCTAATACCCCTAGTTGTTTGAAATTCTTCTGCTTTCTCGCCATGCCAAAGAATAGTAGTTTTTTCCGTGTGGATGCATTATATGAGAAGAG